GCGAGTGGGGTCCGTGCGCCCCAGAACAAGCGGGCCGGGCGTGCGCGGTGCTCGCTGCGCGCGGTGTTACACGCTCCCGGGCGGAGCCGGCGCGCGCGAAGTTACGGTGGACTTGTCGGTCAGGCCGCGGTAAACCGGAAACTTGCCGCCGGCACACGGGTTTCCTTTCTCTCCGCCTGCCTTCCACCTCCGCGTGTCCGTGTGTCCGTCCCTCCAGCCCACACAGCAGGTGCTCACAGGCTCGCAGTGGAGACAGCCCGCCCTGTGGGTTGCTGCCCGGGGACAGTGTGAGGGTCCCGAGACAGAGATGCAGAGACGGACAGAGACAGAGACACAGAGATGGAGAGAGAGACAGAGATGGAGAGAGAGACACAGACGGAGACAGAGACAGAGGGACATAGAGACACAGAGAGACAGAGAGAGAGGTGGAGAGAAATAGAGTCAGAGAGATGGAGACAGAGAGACAGAGAGAGGCTAAGAGAGACAAAGACACAGACAGAGAAACAGAGACAGAGAGAGAGAGATAGAGACACAGAGAATGAGAGAGACACAGACTGAGACAGAGACAGACTGAGAGAGACAGAGACAGACTGAGACTGAGAGACAGACAGGGACACAGACACAGAAAGAGAGACAGAGACATATAGAGACTAAAAGAGAGAGACAGAGACATACAGAGACACAGAGACTGAGACAGAGACAGACTGCGACAGAGATGGACACAGAAACAGAAGACAGAGACACAGAGACGGAGGCAGCCCCTTAGCTGATGCAGCAACAGCCTCAGAGCCTTCACTGTTGTCCCGTGTTCAACGCTGGGGCTTCAGGGTGAGCACGTCACAGCCCCTGACGCCGCACTCTCGTTGAAGGCCTGCCGGGCACATCCACAGCCAACCCATTGCTGCTGACCGCGAGCCCAGGCTCCATCTTCATTTCAAAATGTGACCTCGTGCTGGTTCACACGGGCAAGGCGACCCTAGTTATGATTTATTCTCACATCCGAGTAGCTCTTAGAAGGCACCAAAGTAAAATTTTAAAATATAGGAATTAATGTGTTTTCCGCAAGGCTGCAGGCCTGAAATCTTACTTCCAATAAAATTGCAACAGCTCTTACATCCCTGAAATCTCACCATTTGTCATGATTGTAGCAACGGTGAACGTGCATGTATCTGTCTCCGTGCAGGCCTCTCTGGAAGAACACGTCCGCCGCTCATTTAGTTAAGGGTAAGTCCCAGGTTCCTCGATCACGTAGTTACTTGAGATAAAGTTGAGAATCACTGAAGTAAATATTTTAAATTCCTTTTCTACTGAATCTGCAAGATTCTATGGAAAACTTAGCCTAATATGTTTGTTATGGTTCCATTGTACAGAAAATGGTTGTATTTGAATTTTTGTTTTTATAGATGAGGATCTTCATGATCAACCAAAGAGAAGAAGAGCAAGAAAGCATAAATCCAAGAAAAGTTTTAAAAATCCCAATAATGATCATGCAGAACAAGCAGAAATAAAGAAACAGCAGAGTCTTTCACAAGAAAAATTGCAGCCACGGCCCACAGATGGCCCCACAATCAGTAAAAATAAAAAGAGGAAACTGAAGAAGAAGCAGCAGATGAAGAGGAAGAAAGCTGCCGGCTTACTGACCACAGCCTCTGGCCGCAACTTCATGTACCAGCCTGAGGAGGGCGACAGCGAGCAAGAAGCCCTGAGAGAGAGTGACGGGGAGGATGCGGAGGATCACGGGGAGGATGCTGCAAACGCCCTCAGGGAGGACAGTGCAGAGGAGGACAGTGCAGACGCCCGCGGGGAGGACGGTGCAGACACCAATGAGGAAGACATTAAAAGTACCAATGAAAAGGCAGATGATATCCTAAGGTTTCTAAAGTCAACACAAGAAATTTACTTTTATGATGGTATGTTTTTTACCGTTCTTTTGAATAATGGCATCCACTTATTTGGAAAAGTAAGCAAATATAAAATATTTAAATGTTTAAAATATAAAACACTAAAATATTCAGTAGTCAAAATAAGTCATTAGTTTTGAGGCAAAGATGAGAATATTTAAACTGTCCAGCAAGGATGCAGAATGGCTTGTGCTCGAGGCTGTGGCTCCTCACGTGGTTGGTCTCTGCATCCTCACTGCTTTAAACGCGATTTCAGAGGCTGTTGGTATTCTCAGCTCTATTTCCACGGGAAAGGTCAGTCCAGATTGCAGGTGTGATGAACTCAGGCTCGTTTTCACGAGCTAATCGGGAAGTAAAAGTATAAGCACAACCGTCCCCTCTGAGACGTACCTTGATTTACTTCCCACATGTAACTTGCGGATTTAAGATTTTCAGGGAGCGTCTTTGAGCAACTCTCTATATTGATACAGGAGATGAAAAAGGGAAGCACATTTACTCTCATGGATGGTAATTGCTTACGTTTGTGTTGAGGTTTACTGACGGCTGACCTCAGGATCAGGAAGGGGCAGGTGCTGAGTTGAGCCACCATGTTCACACCAAGGACAAAGGCGCTCGGGATGAACCGTTGCCCATTCTGACAACGTTCCTAGTGGATTCAGGGGCTGGGGTGGGTTTAGTGTATTCCGATGTGAGCAAGAATGTGACCTTATGAATAAGACTGAGAAATTTTGGCTCTGTGATAATTGGGGGGGTAAGGAAGTGATTTACACAAGGGTGTGAAAATGCCATTGTTAATAGATCAGTTTAACCCTTTCCCCTTTAGCACGTCTATCAGCGCTTTGTCTTAACAGAGCGAAAACAAACTTAATAGCTAAACGAGGCTAGTAGGAACACATAGCTAATACGCGGCAGAGCAGAAGGAGCCTCAGAAAGACCTCAGTACAGGATCCATTGCGTGTGAGTCTAGGAGGTTCTGCGGGAAAGCGCCCAAGAGGGCAGACCCCAGAGGAGGTGACACCATGTGAGGACTGAGCCCTAATTCCACGGCCTCCTTTCCCCGGGGGCGTCTGCCGGCCATGCATGTGGGCGCTGGAGCGGGGTGCAGGGGAGGGCCGGCCGAGCCCTGGGAAGCTCACCCACCAGTGTGTGCAGCTTCAGCCACAGTGCAGGCCTGTGGGTCTCTCAGAACCTTTGCCAGATGCCAACCTGTGGGGTGCAAGGTAGGGAGAAGCGAGGAGCTTCAACAACATGGTGGACCTCTTCGGCAGTTTTGGGATGCTGACAAGGTTGACATCCCAGAGGGCCACGCTCTTGGAGCAGGGGTGGGTGGAGGCGGCTGAGCCCACCCTGTGTCAGCTCAGTCCCTGCAGGGGCAGGTTGGCCCAGACCACCGCCAGTTTCCATACTCACGCACTCCAACTTAGCAGGCAAAACCACGAGAAGAACGTGCAATGGAGACATTGATGTTATCAGAAGGCACTGAAAGAGGTATGATTAAGGTGCTCAAAAAAATAGGGAGAAAAAGGTGAAAAATTGGAGAATTTCACCAGATAGCCTCAATCTATTAAGACAGTCAAATGCAAATTGTGAGAAATATAATAACTGAAATTAAGAACTCAATGCTGAGTCTCAGCCACAGGTCAGGTTCAGCATGAGAGAGATCAGTGGCCGGGAAACAGGCAGGATAGAACCTGCAGATGGGTGCTCGCGGGCGCTGGGGGGACGGGAACGGGTCTGACATGCGTGTACGTGGGGTCCAGGACAGGGCGCTGGGGGCCGTGTGCAGAGGTAATAGTTGGGAGTTCTTTGAAGTTGGGAAAGGCCATCAAGTCATAGACTCAAAATGCTGTATGAAGTCCAAGCGGGACTAAAGCGGAGAACAGCACAGCAAAAGCCGTTGAGTGGGAACGGGGCATCTGAGGCCGGTCTGCAGGGCTGGGCCGTGTCCGTGGCCTTGCCACGGCCTGTGACTCCTAGCGGTGTTTCTGGAAGGCGTCGCAGGAGATGGAGGCCCAGACAGAGGCAGGCCTCCAGCGGCTTCAGTGAGCCCTAGTTCCTTGCTGACGGTTCAAATTCTGCTCCAGCGGCCTCTCCTGGCAGCTTCCTCTATCCCCAGCAGCTCATTCTGAGTAGAGACGCATTAGGTGGGAAGTACCTTCAGCTGACAGAAACATAAACGTGTGTTTCTCTGGGACCCTGGCTTTGCTTAGGTGCCTCCAAGGATGATGCAGACTCTGCTGTGTCCGTGGAAGCCAGTCAGGAGCTGTTCCAGCATCTCGAGGCTCACAGCATGTCCCCCTCCGATGTGCGCCTTGTGCATCACATGAAAACGCTGTTACTCGTGCGAGACACCGAGAGCCTGCAGCACGCCCTGGAGAGGCTCCCAGCATGTTGCGCAATGTCGCCCGGTACGTACTGGGCCCCTGGGGTCAGCCCCCGAGGCCGGGGGGCAGAGCGTCGGGGACGCGCGTGTGCTTGTGGACACGGGAATGTGCTTGCGGTAAGCAGGACTCACGTGACGGGCGCGGAAGGCCCTGTGCCGCCCGATCTTCCAGGCGCTGAGCTGTCTGGGCCAGATGTCATCGGTTTAAATGTCACCCCTTGCCCGCTTCCTCCTCTGCTCTGCTGGTAGGAGGCTGACTTTTTCTGCCCGCTAAGTATCTTGGGGAGACGTGAATTACAAGACGACTTTTCTCTTGTGTACCACCCTTTCTTGGGTGCCCTTTGCACACAAACTGTCAGGTGCTGGGGCCAACCGTGCCCCAGTCCTCCCAGCACCGGGGTGCTGACTTCGTGTCAGTAGCTTGAAATGGGTGTTGGGGGGAGTATCAGGCCACGGGAGTGTGCAGACGCCAAGGATCAGAAAATCAAGGCTCTTCCTAGAGAACCACCGCAGAGCCCACGCCTGACCCACACCAGGCCAGTGGCACCTTTTCAGTGAATGAATGGAGGGCTTCTGCAGACTTCTCTGAGGGAACGTCAAAGTGACCACAATGACTGTGTCCACCCAGAAACCTCATGGTGCAGCTGAAAGGTCAAGACTAACATGGTATCAAATCAGGTGAGAGGACAGTAAGGCCATCCCAGTGTGGCGCTGGGGTGATGAGCAGGGGAGTGACAGGGACCGTCAACACTTCATTCTCCAGTTGGGGAGGCCGGTCACCGAGCTGGGGTCCCAGAGGTCCCAGAGGTCCTGAATTAACGTGTCTGTTGAGCTTCATTGGGCGTCTGCCTGTGCCGCCCTCTGTCCTCAGCTGCTGGATTCTCGGAGAACGGGGCAGACAAAGCCCTTGGGTGCTCATGTGCCGGTGGGGCGACTGGAGATCTGGAGCTGACCCCCGCCGTGTGCACGCTAGACAGGAGCCTCGAGTCCTGGTGGGGAGACGGGTGACGAGATCGGGAGCTGACCCCTGCCGTGTGCACGCTAGACAAGAGCCTCAAGTCCCGGTGGGGAGACGGGTGACGAGATCGGGAGCTGACCCCGCCGTGTGCACGCTAGACAGGAGCCTTATGTACTG